TTTTTTTTAACTGCTCATTTTGGGGAAAAAATACTATTCTATCTCTTTTCATTTTCAAAAAATGGGGTCAAACGAGGGCCTTTTAGTCATAATTGATTAAAATTTAATCAATGTTAATAATTAATTTTAATTATATATTTTATGTATTCATCAATTTTTTGATTATATATTTCATCAATTTTTATGAAAATATATTAAATAATAATTTTTATCTAAATCAACTAAGGCATAATTTCTAAGGTCAATTCACAAATTGTAATCTTGCAAATGCCACGTAGTAACATCAAGAGCATGATAAATTGGTCATGAAAACTCTAGATTATAAAGAACCAATTACACACCTTTCCGTATGGGTTTCGTAATCTCACATATATTATCAGCAATACAGCTGTTCCATTGCTGTGAATTCACAAATAAGAATTTGTTTTGTTTGTATTGGCGTTTGAAAGTTTGTAGGAGCTCTCGTTCACATGATATATGATTGGAAATATGCATAACAAGATGCTTTGTCACTTTAAATTATCTCCATTTTGAGGTGATATTAGAATAGACCTGAACTTTATGTAATAGAAGTTATGAGTTATCTAGTCGTTGTATGTATTAATAATAATCAAGTCAGTCGCTTTCTCAACTTTAAGTTGATGGATGATTTAATGTTTATCGACTAGATACGTGTGTCCTTTCCAAATTTGCATACAAAGTTATATTGATAAGGATTATTTAAATAATATATATATATTTTTAACTTGAGAGTCAATAAATTTTTCGCATAGCCAATAAGTTTATATTTATATCTTGAAATTTGTCTAGGCGAGTATAAAAGTTTGGTCGTTTCTAAGTTTTATAAGCTATTGGATACGATATTTTGAGTAATGATACGTAGTAATTGTCTATTTACAATTGCTTAATAAAATGTTGAATCATCTTGTTCTTTTTGGGTAATTAGGATATGTAACATGACTCATTTTGATATTATTTAAAATAATAATTTTGATCGTTACAATATCTTTTTTTATTTTGACGTAATAGTCTATTTGATTTGATTAGACAAGTATAAATTGTCGTAGTCTTCATTTCTCTCTTATCATCTCCTACTGAGCCTAATAAAGGACAGCCGTGAAAATTCAAGACACAAGCTTCATTTCTCTCTTATCTCCACCTTCTGAACCCCTCGTTCGCAATCTTTGCGTGACTGAGCGTGAATCCATGGACGGCTCAAAACTCCATGTAGCTATTCTTGTAAGCCCAGGAATGGGACACCTCATCCCTGTCCTCGTTCTGGCCAACCGCTTAGCCACCCACCACCGCGTTAAAGTCACAGTTCTCGTAGTCACGACTGTTTTTTCGCCGCCGGAATGTCAGCTGCTCAAACTCCCCGACGAGCAAAACCCCGTTGATATAATCGAACTGCCTCCTGTGGACATTTCACACCTTGTAAAACCCGATACCAAAGTAGGGACACAACTGTGCATGATGGTACGAGAGGCGTTGCGGGGCTTCCGGTCCGCCATCTCCGCCATGTACCACCGTCCTGACGCCCTTATCGTGGACCTTTTCTGCACTGAAGCTCTTCCTATCGCGGCTGAGTTCAACATGGCGAAGTATGTGTATGTGCCCACGACAGCATGGTTTACTGCCCTCACTCTATACTGTCCGGTTCTTGATAAAGAAATCGATGGACAGTATGTTGATCAAGAAGATTTGTTAAAAATTCCTGGCTGCAAACCGGTTCGACCAGAGGACGTGGTCGATCCCATGCTGGACCGGAACGATCAACATTACTACGAGTATGTGAGCATGGGGAATCGGATTCCACAATATGATGGGATCCTGCTGAATACATGGGAAGATTTGGACTCCATAACTCTGAAAGCTTTCAAGGAAAATGAAATCTGGAGGTCGATGGTGAAGATCCCGGTTTATCCCATCGGTCCACTGAGGAGACCGGCCCAACCGGACGGTTCAAAGAGTGCAGTAATTGAATGGTTAGACAAACAGCCTAATGAATCAGTAATATTTGTTTCATTTGGAAGTGGTGGGATGCTTTCGGCTCAGCAAATTACAGAGCTGGCTATTGGTTTAGAATTGAGTGAACAGAGATTTATTTGGGTGGTGCGCCCACCCATGAAAGGTGCAGCTGACGATGCATTTTTCACCACAAAAACTGTTTATTCAGACGGTACTTCGCACTACTTGCCTGAAGGATTTTTGACCAGGACCGAAAGCTTAGGACTAGTGGTCCCAACGTGGGCCCAGCAAGTGGAGATCCTCGACCACCCTTCAGTGGGAGGATTTATGTCGCATTGTGGGTGGAACTCGACTATAGAAAGCATATGTAGTTGTGTACCAATGATTGCATGGCCACTCTACGCCGAGCAAAGACTCAACGCCACCTATCTTGTGGAGGAGCTTGGAATTGCTGTCAGGCCTCGGGTGCTGCCTACCAAAGAAGTGGTGGCGCGTGAAGAAATAGAGAATATGTTGAGGACGTTGATGGATGAAAAAGAAGGCAAGAAAATGAGAGAAAATGTGAAAAAACTGAAAATCAGTGCGGAAAATGCTTTAAGGAAAGGAGGCTCGTCGTACAATTCAATGTTGGAGATGCTCAAACATGTTACTACAAACCTTAAAGCCTCAGAACACTGTTAGTTTACTGATCCATCCCCATTGCCGCGCAATCTATCTGTATGAATAATAAATGTGTTAAATAGGGAAACACGGGGCCATTGTCCATGCATGGATTGTTATTGTTTACTACTGTATATGTACAATTACAGTGTATGTTACGTGCACAATGATATCTTGGTCCAAGGTAGGTTAATTTACACTTCATCAATTGCATTTGTTTTACTAAGAGATTCTTGGCGAGCATCGACCAACCTCTCCGGTGTCACAAGGTAACCATTCATTTCACTTTCGTGAACAAACTCGGGTACTTTATGTAATGACTTTAAGCTAGTTGCAATATCAAGCCAGGCTGAAACTTGGGAGAAACATTGTACAATTGATAATTTTTTACTCTTGAATCTTTTTCATCACCATTAAAGATACAGTGGCATATAAAGATATGAAAATGAAAATGAATCATACGATTTTTATAATGTCAGTATTTCTTAAGTCGAAAAATACAGTATGGCATACTATGCGATCGCACAATACCTATACATCCTTATGCACAAAGATACTCAAATTGGTCGTTCTGATCCGTTGAATAGGTGGTTCATATTCTTGTATATGGAGAGCTAGTTGATGGAGCGGACGGGACGGGTCGATAACTCCAAGGTAGACTCGTCCCTTCTCTGGTTGTTCAAGCCCCATTGTTGTATCTTTATCCTCGTCTATGATGACTATAATCATTGCGGAGAGTGATTCCCAAGAAGCTTTTGTGTCTTATCTGTAAGAATTTTTATTTAAAGATGGGTTTGTATGTGTGAACAATTGTGTGTTAAATTATAGGCTATCGAATTCGGTTGAGCCCAATTAAAGTGATCTAATAAGGTTTTGATTTTGGGTTTTAATGTATCCAATTAAAGTATGAATTTACATATGTGTAGAGATCGGGCCCAAGTCCTAATTCTATGATGGGCCGAATTAGGTCAAAGGGCATCCCCTATATAAATAGGTTATGGTCCCCAGATCACATGCAACGTCTTATTCATTCTCTACTGCATCCCATCACAAAAAGGAAAAGGAGACTGCGTGTAGATTTGGAAAACCATACCGCGAAATTCATATTGCATCAACCATGTCAGATTCAAGTAAGCTTCCGCTTTAATTCTTATATTTCTTGATGATTTAACATGAAAGATCCAGTAATTTAAAGTATTAAATTATCCAACAAGTGG